AACGGCATATATTTAGGTGACCTTTATTTTAAGTAAAAAAAATTTTGGGGATTATGGCAACATTCCATCAATCAATCTTTCAACTTGAAAAGTGCTTGGTGATGGTGACCTTTTCTAACAATATTGATCTCCCTTAGTTTATAGTTCCATATAAAAATATGCAACAAGAGGCCCATGGGCCACTCCTAGCTGAGAAGCTTTGACCATTCTGTTTTTACCAGTTTTTCCCCCTTTTAATACATAATGCAACCCCAACCCACTGATATAAAAAGACATTTTGAAATCTACACTCCCCCGGGATTTTCCATGTGTACATAAGTTTCAGCTTTTCTTAGAAAAATTTTAAAAGATTTTTCCTATATATTTCTATGTAAAACTTTGATTCCCCATTGTGGCCCCGCCCTCCCCCCGGGGGTCATGATTTTAATAATTTAATATTTACACTACCCCAAGGATGCTTCCACATAAGTTTCAGTTTTTCCCGGGCCCTGGTTCTTGAGAAAAAGATTTTCAAAGATTTTTCCTATATATTTCTATGTAAAACTTTGATTCCCCATTGTGGTCCCGCCATTCCCAGAGGTCATGATTTGAACAATTTAGAATTTACACTACCCAGGATGCTTCCACATAAGTTTAGCTTTTCTGGCCCAGTGGTTCTTGAGAAGAAGATTTTCAAAGATTTTTCCTATATATTTTATGTAAAATTTTGATTCCCCATTGTGGCTCCCCCCTTTCCCCTTTGGGGGGGTAAATTTTGAACAATTTAGAATTACACTACCCAGAATGCTTCTACATAAGTTTCAGCTTTTCTGGCCCAGTGGTTATTTAGAAGAAGATTTTTTTATGATCCCACCCTATTTTTGTCTTTTCTTGATCATCCCCCCTTGTGAGGGGACTTGACCCTTTATTACAACAATTTAAATTCCCCTTCATCCAGGATGCTATGTACCAAGTTTGGTCAAAATTGGCCCAATGATTCTTGAGAAGAAGTCAAAATGTGAAAGTTTACAGACGGACAGACAGACAGCTAGATGGACAGACAGTAACGGACGGACAGGACAAAAAGTATCAAAAAACTCACTTGAGCCTTCGGCTCAGGTGAGCTAAATATGATCAAAATTTAAAATAAACTGTATGGCATTTTTCTTTGCCAAATGATAGTTGACAGCTTAAGATATTATATAAAGAAAAAATAAGTTTTATCTGATGAATAATTTGTTGACCATAGTCTTCTTAAATCTTACACAAATGTATCCTTTAGATCAAGGGTTATCTTTATTTCTTTTGTACTAAATTTATCTGACTATTCTTGACTACCTTGAACAAGATAACATGCATTGATGAGGAAGACAATTATGTCATGATTTGATTGCATCAATGCATGCTATTTCAAAGCTTTTGAACTACAACATAAATAATTTTATGACACTTACTTTCATTACTAAATTCCCTTAAACCCTTCCCTACATCCATCCATACATTCTCCATAAACCTTATTACAGGTTTTATTTTCGAAGCAGTTTCCACTGCAGAGATTTGTACAATTAGCCCCATAAGTACCAAAATCACATTCTGCAAAAGAAATACATGTAGTGAATGAAAATTGATTTCAAAAATTATATATGATGAAACCATTCATGAAGCAGTTTTCTGCTGTACATATATATAAAATATATTCTTTTAAAGACCCTTTAAACGAAGATTTTTAATACAGATAACCCATTTTTTAAAGTTTGTGAAGCTTCCTTTAGGTAATTATGACTAATACAATTCGTAAGCAAGGTTTTTTAAAAAAAAAATAATAGTTTGTATAATTTTTTTGGTTAAGATGAAATGATAAAAAGATATATTGCTGTCGAAATACTTTTTTCTAACCATCATTAAGACAACAATTTATGTTGGGTATGTTTGTTTGTTTTATCAAAGCCATAAGAAAAATACAGTTATCCGGATTATACAATGAAGTTTTGCTTATTACCTTCTTCACATTTAGAGCCTCTATAACCCCGTACACACCCTGCATTGCAATCTCCGCTCTCTTTGTTACAATCCTCCTGGTTTGCACAGTTTCCGCTACAATTCCTTTTACAATTTTCTCCGTATGTCCCATACCTACATCCTATAAAACAAAATTCACTCATTTTCCGTTACAGGCACGCCTAATTTACTCCAACAGTATTCCATACATTTTAGATTAAAACTCACTTTCAAATATTTTAAACGATAATTATTAATATTAATTTTTAAAAATAAATAAAAACACTGTATATTTTTTTCACTTCATGACAATGATTATCTTCAATCATTTTATTCCAGGATAATGGTAGGGTAAATCAAAATAGATTATTGAAGAAAATGAATAACATTTTACTAACCCTTTCCTTACAAATATATCATATTTTAAAGTAATATACGCCGTATGGATGCCGATTTGTATGTGAAACAAAATGATTAAATGATTTGAAACACATAAGAGTGTAATGAAAAAATAATATTTCCACAAAATTTAACTATAAAACTCGTTGTAATAACAGAACAATAAAGCAATATCTGCAATCAAGAATTCAGTCTTTTCATGAATATTGATAAAGGAAGTGCGTAAACAGTAGGTCTAAATATAGACAGTATGTCCACGGGAAATTATATACAACGAGGCACATTGCATTTTGACAACGATTATTAATAAAAGGATAATATGCGTCATAACAGAGTATAGATTTTTGATACTGATTACATTTAAAGATAAGTTATATTAATAGTAACACGCCATCCATGTCAAAAGTGAGTTGTATCTCAAAGGGCTTACCTAGTTTTCTTGACGCCGTGTTTGTTTATCAATCTAAACGTAGCGACGGCGTCACGTGGTGGATTTACTTAAAAATAGACATTATTCTCCTTGCAGGATAATAAATAATTTTAATTTGATAACTTTATAACGAATTTTATTTAAATGGTGTAATTTACAGCATTTTCGTAACTTTTATTGGTAAACAAAATATATAAATTTCCAGCCGTATTTTAAAATGGCGCACGTTATAGCGTATATTACTTTAAGCTAACCTGCATTATTCACTTGGAGAGGAAACTTTCTTTATAGTGCCTAGAGACGGCTCAATAATTTTGATAATTCTGTTAACATTGATGGTTTTGTTTGAAAACCCAATCCCAAATCTTTACCAATCCTCCCATATTTAGTCAAATTCTAAAGTACTATTATATCTTACTTTCATTGCAATCATATCCCATCCATCCTGAAATACATCCTGAACAATGACCAGTCACGTGATTACAAGATTTTTCTTGACATCTGACTGAACATGTTCTGTTGCACTCTGCTCCATAAAATCCAGCTGGACAAGCTTATAATATAAAGCACAAGACATTATTTTGTGTTTAAATTTACTTGTACAATCTGTACCCCATCTTTACAAAATGTTAATTTTTGTACATTAATTCCTCCTGGTATAATTATAGCCATGTAGATTTTTCATAGGAAAAATGTGTATTTTTCACTATGGAACAAAATATCGCCCATAAATGGCTAAAGTATTGTCGACTCGGCGTTAAACTGTAATTATCCAATCTATCAATATAACAACCAAAAACTTTTGAGGGCTAAAAAATTTCCGTCATCTTATGCAAATCATTTTGAAGTACTAGAATGTTCTCATATCATCTATATGTGTCTGAAATTTTGCGATAAAATTAAAACACAAGAAATCAAAATCACTATAAAATTTGACTTTCTTAATCTTACCATCAAGGCATTTTTCCCCGATCCAGCCATCGATGCATCCAACACAAGTCCCATTAGTTACGTAACACCTTCTTTCTTGGCAGTGTGAGGGACAGGTTTCATTACAGAGTTGTCCATAAGCATCATCTCTGGTACAACCTTTAGCACAATAAGATAATGTATAAATATTTTTTTTTGAAAATTAAATGATTTTAAAGGTATACATCTTTAAAGGCTTTATTTTTAACAAATCAAATGATGCTTATAGAATGATAAGAATTTAAGTGCGTGAAAAAAGAAGAATATTACCTTGTACAATTACTTCACATAGCTGTGTGTATGTTTCTTTTTGATTGACCCCGTTTGGATACGTCACACCAGGGACTCCTCTTTCGTTATAGAAAAATACATACCGACCGAATGAAACACATATATGAGTGACGTTAAGATCGGGTAACTCCGATCCTGAATGACTGTAGGCACAAGTAAGCCTCGTGTAAAAGACTGAAGTCTGTACTGTTTGAGATATAGAGCTTGTATCCATACATACGCTCTCTCTGTCGTTGTTCTGTTTAACAATGAGGGGAAGAAGTTTGAATTTAATACATGCAATGCATTGCAGTCAGAATGATTGCCATAAAAGATTTTGTAGCTCGGCAGCCAACAGGATTACGTTCTAGATAAAAAAGCTCGATATTAGAGTTTATAACCGACTTTTACTGTACTAAATATTGTTATGTACTGTATGAAATATACAAAAATGGCGAAAATTAAAGGTTGTTCGACTTAATAATTTTGACTTTAAAATATTTAAATGCCTTAAATTTGTATTTAATAATGGCCTTCAGAGTTGAATACTGCTGGGTATCTCCATGTATTTTATATAACAAAACAGAATGGGGTGACATATGCTAATACGACTTCCAAGAAAGATTTTAGTTCATTATTTTGTTTTGTTTGTTAGTTTTGTTTTTAGTTTGTTTTTTAAAGAGATCAATGGAGATGTAAAGGAAAGAATAGAAAGACATTTTTATTTCAGAAATCTTAAAAGTGTACTTACCATAGCTCTTATTATAAAGCCTGAAGTAAATCTGTACGTCATAAATACTTTTGACTTTCTGGAGATCCACATACCACCATGCTGGATTAGATAAATATGTAGAAGAACATGTGGATAAAGATCTGTCTACAGCGTTCTCTGCCAAATCCGTTCTTTGAAGACCTTGTTGTTTTGTTGGTTTAAATGCTGATATATCATCTAAAAAAGAGAAAATATAGATTTAATGGTTGAATACTAAATAACATAAGCTCCAAAACTCTTCGAAAGTGAAGTATTATGCTTTACGTGAGTAATATTTCTAATTCAACTAGTTTTTCAACATTTGTATTTTAAAATTTGAGTAGTAGTAGTAGTAGTAGACGTATTGTAATCATTTCATTTTGTCATTCAATTGCTTTTTTCTGTTAATCTCTACTTATGAAGAAAATTATATTCTTGTTTAAACTACGTCCTCAATACCTTCTAATTTCTGTCCATTTCAAAGTATCTAAAACACTAATTTATATTTATGTTTATATGGTATGGAACATTTTGTAGATGTGATGATCTTGTGTCATTTCTTTACTCAGTGTACGTTTTACTATCACATGCATATTTATCATGTTCATTTTTAAAAAAAAAAAAAACTAACTGAATACTATTTGTACCTCGTAAATATTAGGTCGTTTCTCAATTCAAAACGAAACTGTTTACAATTCAAAAGAAAGTGAATCATTTATACAAATTACAGTTCAAAATGTTATCATAAAAACAAACTTTTGATTGAGATGCTTAGCTTTCTAAGAAATAAAGATCCATGTATGCATGGGATATATATGTATAAGAATAAATCATGTAAATCATGGTTTTTTAGTTAACAACAATATTGATAAGAGAACTCTCAGTCTAAAATCATCTTGACAAAATAAACACATTGCATTGTTTAAAATCAGTGATAATTCTTTCTTTAAGCATCAATACAATAAGCTCGATCGATATAAAATTACCATATAATCAATTCTTAAATTATGGAATACTGTTGGACAATTCTTTGTACAATAGGACTTGTTAATTAAATTGATTTATCATTTTGTAAGATAACTTGAAGTAACATACAACAAAAAGAGATAAAGAACGCTTGTTCATGAAATCAACGAACAGTGTCAACCTCAAAAGTCCATTAAAACATAACAAATTTGGAGCAGGCAAAACACAGACCTCCAAAAAGATCTGTAGCGGGATCATGTTACTTGGAAGAGTTGACATGTCGACAATCATATACGCCGTTTGCTACTTATCATGATCGTGCAAACTAAAAATCCGTAAAATTAAGATTCGGTAGAATTAATGGTCTAACAAATTTTTATGCACGCAGTTTTCGTTATTTCTCGATCACGAAGGAGCACACATTGGGTTTGACCGGCCGGCAGGGAATACTCACTCCTCAATGGCACCTGATCCAACATCTGATTTTTTAAAGTTCCGTGTGTGTCCTGCTCCTTTTTTGTAATGTTAAATGCACCTTTGAGATTGATATAGTTTGTCATCTCCACATATTTCAGGCAACATGCGACTTAATGTTAGATTGTGTTTAATGACAAGATCATTGTATCCATCATAGATTTTGCAGAATGTTTTAATTTTTTAACTAGAATATTCTTGTTTCATCAACTTATCTGGCAATAGCTTGTCACGTTTTAGAAAGTGAAGCGATTGAATGAAGTCACTTCTTTTTCAAAATTAATGAAATACTAGTGCTAATTGTAACGGGGACCGTTACAGATGTTCCCCAAACGCTCCCCAACTCCCTTTTGGTGCCATATTTCCTGTAAGCTTCATTAAATAACACAAACTCTATGCATTTGAGACTTTAACAACGTTTACCCAGAAATGTACCATGTTCATTCAAATTTCAGCATTGCATGTGTGCGCATGTGAATCATGTACCTAATGACCATATCATCTTGTCTACACAATATATATATATATTAATATACTAAATATCAAAGTATTTAATCCAAAAGTATTAAAAAAAATTCGCTCATTCAAGTGTATTTTTGATTTTACTTATTTCACGTGCACACACGTGCATACATGAGCATGGTGACCATACCTTCTTGTAGAAGTCCATTACATCTATATATGTTCTAAATCCCATCCCATTTTGTTGAAAAGCAAGGGAGTTATACCTGTTTAAAGTTTCAGCCAATCAGATTGCAGCGCACTTATGCACGCATGTGTTTCATGATAATTGCCATATATCTTATAGTAGTCCATTACATCTATCTATGTTCTAAATCCCATCCTGTTTGGTTGAAAACCAAGGAAGTTATAGCTGTTTAAAGTTTCAGCCAATCAGATTGCCGTGCACGTACATGCACGTGTATGCATGTGCATGGGGACCATATCTTCTTGTAGAAGTCTATTATATATATCTATGTTCCAAAGCCCATCCTCAATAATTTAAATAGTTACTGTATCAATTTTTACATTTAAAGTTTCAGCCAATCAGATTGCAGCGCACGTGCATGCACGTGTTTTCATGATAATTTCTATATATCATGTTGTAGGATAATCTAATGCATGGCTATATTCAAAATTTCAAAAGATTTCGTCAAAAAACAAGAAAGATATTGAGACTTTAGTTTCAGCCAATCAGAGCAAAGCGCACGTGCATGCGCGTGAGATCTTGCTATTTTGACCATGTCATCTTGTCTATATTACTAATATATCCTTACATTATGAGTTTCAAAGCATTTCATCAAAAATTACAAAAGTTACGCCTATATCAATTAATATCGGTCATTTCACGTGTTGCACGTGCGCGCTCTTGCAAGCACGTGCGCGCAAAATGACCTTTGTTCGGCAAATCTACATAACATGTCTACTGACCCTAAAAACATTTTACCTTAGTCGGATGTGTAGTTTACAAGATCACTCAAGGACAAAATTTTCCCAGGAATAATAATAATAACTAGTGCTAATTGTAACGGGAACCGTTACAGATGTTCCCCAAACGCTCCCCAACTCCCTTTCGGTGCCATATTCCCTGCAAGTTTCATTAAATAAGACAAACTCTGTGCATTTTTGACTTTAACAACGTTTTTCCAGAAGAATACGAATTATATTCAATTTTTAGCATTGCACCCAAGCACATGTGAATGCATGTGCGTTATGACCATATTATCTTGTCTACACTATTTATATATTTTAATATACTATATATTAAAGCATTCAGTCCAAAAGTAATAAAAATCACTCATTCAAGTGTATTTTTAAATATACTCGTTTCAAATGCACGCACGTGCGTGCACGTGCATGATGATCATACCTTCTTGAAGGAGTCCCTTACATCTATCTATGTTCTAAATCCCATCCTGTTTGGTTGAAAAACAAGGGAGTTATAGCCATTTAAAGTTTCAGCCAATCAGATTGCAGCACACGTGTATGCGCGTGATTTTATGATTTATTTTAATATCATTTTGTAGGATATCCTAATGCATGACTATATTTTAAATTTCAAAGAATTTCGTCAAAAAACAAAGGAGAAATAGCCATTTAAAGTTTCAGCCAATCAGATTGCAGCACACGTGCATGCGCGTGATATCATGATTTTTTTTTTCTATACCATTTTGTAGGATATCCTAATGCATGACTATATTTTAAATTTCAAAGAATTTCGTCAAAAAACAAAGGAGATATTGCCATTTAAAGTTTCAGCCAATCAGCTTGCAGCACGCGCACATGCGCATGCTTTCATGAAAATTCTTATATATCATGCGGTAGATCTTCATAATGTAGGACTATGTTCAAAATTTCAAAGGATTATGACAAGAAACAAGAAAGATATTGAGACTTTAGTTTCAGCCAATCAGAGCGAAGCGCACGTGCATGCGCGTTAGATCTTGCTATTTTGACCATGCTATCTTGTCTATACTACTAATGTATCCTTACATTATGAGTTTCAAAAAATTTCATCAAAAAATAGAAAAGTTACGGCAATATCCATTATATTGGTCATTTCACGTGTTGCACGTGCGCGCTCTTGCAAGCACGTGCGCGCAAAATGACCTTCGTTCGGCAACTCTACATAACATGCCTACTGACCCTAAAAAGGTTTCACCTAAGTCGGATGTATAGTTTACAAGATCACTCGTGGACAAAATTTTCCCAGGAAGAAGAAAAATAATAAGAATAATAATCTCGTTGCGAGCAACGAGTGGGTCTTCCGTTCGATTCTTGATGAAATGAGATGAGATTTTGATTGAGATTTTCATTCTTAAGTAATGATCTTCCATATTCTGTAAAATGACATTGAACAAAAAAGACTTCTAAAATCGACTTTTGGCCCCTCACGGCCCCTAACATTAGGGATCAGTCCTTTTATCTTCATAACATTTAAAAGCTCTCAGGATTTTGAACACTTTTAACAACAACTATTCAGAGATTCTTTTTCGTTTTCGAGTTATTCGCAAAAGAAATATTTAGGGGCCAACCCTTCAACTCCCTAATGGGGAGGTTTAGTGAAAAATGAAATGTTGCATATTGTTCAGAACATCATTTTGAACATCTTTTGTTCAATATTACTTATCAAAATATTTCTCACTTTTGAGATACAAAGCGTCAAAGATTTTGTCTTCTGGCCCCTTGTGGCCCCTAATTATGTAATATACGACTTTAAAATCATAATATACTGTTGTAGATTGTTGAGATAAACATTTTTACTTCAGTAATGTATTACAAATTATTGACTGTTAAAGAGTTATCGAAAAAAGACTTTTAGCCCTCATGCGCCCCTGATTTGTGAAGCCCCTTTTTCTGGATTTCATCTTAAAGCTCTTAGGATTTTGAGCACTTTTTGTTCGACAACTATTCAGAGATTCTTTTTCGTTTTCGAGTTATTCGCAAAAGAAATATTTAGGGGCCAACCCTTCAACTCCCTAATGGGGACGTTTAGCGAAAAATGAAAGGTTGCATATTGTTCAGAACATCATTTTGAACATCTCTTTTCTTCAATATCACTTATCAAAATATTTCTCACTTTTGAGATACAAAGCGTCAAAGATTTTGCAGTGGCCCCTTGTGGCCCCTAATTATGTAATATACGACTTTAAAATCATTATATACTGTTGTAGATTGTTGAGATAAACATTTTTACTTCAGTAATGTATTAAAATTATTGACTGTTAAAGAGTTATCGAAAAAAGACTTTTAGCCCCTTTTTGGCCCCTAATTTGATACCCAGCCCCTTTTTCTGGATTCCGCTTAAGGCCCTTAGGATTTTGAACACTTTTTGTTCAACAACTATTCAGAGATTCGTTTTTGAGCTATTAGCAAAAGAAATATTTACAACCCTTCAACTCCTTAATGGGGACGCAAAAAATGAAAGGTTGCATATTATTCAGAACATTATTTTGAACATCTTTTGTTCAATATTGCTTATCAAAATATTTCTCCCTTTCGAGATATAAAGCATCAAAGATTTAGCATTCTGGCCCCTTGTGGCCCCTAATTATGTACCATACGACATAAAAATCATAATATATAGTTGTAGATGGTTGAGATAAACATCTTTGCTTCAGTAATGTATTACAAAATATTAACTGATAAAGAGTTATCGAAAAAAGACTTTTGGCCCCTCTTGGCCCCTAATTCGAGTGCCCAGCCCCCTTTTCGGGATCTCATCTTAAAGATCTTAAGATTTTGAACATTTTGTGTTCAACAACTGTTCAGAAATTTCTTTTAGTTTTTTAGCTATTAGCAAAAGAAATATTTAGGGGCCAACCCTTCAACTCCTTAATGGGGACGTTTAGCAAAAAATGAAAGGTTGCATATTGTTCAGAACATTATTTTGAACATCTTTTGTTCAATATTGCTTATCAAAATATTTCTCCCTTTCGAGATAGAAAGCATCAAAGATTTAGCATTCTGGCCCCTTGTGGCCCCTAATTATGTACCATACGACATAAAAACCATAATATATAGTTGTAGATGGTTGAGATAAACATCTTTGCTTCAGTAATGTATTACAAAATATTAACTGATAAAGAGTTATCGAAAAAAGACTTTTGGCCCCTCTTGGCCCCTAATTCGAGTGCCCAGCCCCTAATTTGAGATCTCATCTTAAAGATCTTAGGATTTTGAACATTTTTTGTTCAATAACTATTCAGAAATTCTTTTTCGTTTTTGAGCTATTAGCAAAAGAAATATTTAGGGGCCAACCCTTCAACTCCTTAATGGGGACGTTTAGCAAAAAATGAAAGGTTGCATATTGTTCAGAACATTATTTTGAACATCTTTTGTTCAATATTGCTTATCAAAATATTTCTCCCTTTCGAGATATAAAGCATCAAAGATTTTGCATTCTGGCCCCTTGTGGCCCCTAATTATGTACCATACGACATGAATATCATAATATATAGTTGTAGATTGTTAAGCTTAACATTTTTTGTTCAGTAATATATACCAAAATATTGATTGTTAAAGAGTTATCGATTAAAGACTTCTGGCCCCTTTTTGCCCTTAATGTGATGAGTCAGCGCTTTTT